TATTTGAGCTGAAAAGGGATCCTGTGGTTAAGAGCGCAGCTTTTAAGGAGCTCGTCAAAAAATCTCTTGGCGAGACGACGAACGTAAGAGCCTTATCCCAGGAGTCAGTGGTAGAGTGCAGGGATCTGGACGAGATCACAACAGAAGACGAGTTGAAGAGTGCGCTGAAGGTGCAATGCAACCTGGGAGACGTACCGATGGCAATTCGGTTGAGGAAGGCGTATGCTGGCACGCAGACAGCGTCGATACGACTTTCTTCGGACGCAGCTAACGAGCTGCTGAAGACTGGCCGAATCAAGGTTGGGTGGTCAGTGTGCTCGTTGAAAGCTATTCCTCGGGTATCTAAGAAAATGGAGAGATGCTACAAATGCATGGGCTTCGGTCACCAGGCGAGAAACTGCAAAGGCCCAGACAGATCTGATCTGTGCAGGAAATGTGGAGAGAAGGGGCACGTTGCAAAAGACTGTACAAAGCAACCAAGGTGCATGCTCTGCAAAAAGGAGGACGGAAACGACCATGTGACGGGAAGTTTCAGGTGCCCAGAGTACAAGAAGGAGATGGTGGGCCAGCAATAATGAAGGTTACCCAAATAAATCTCAATCATTGCAACACAGCACAGCATCTGTTGTGGCAGTCAACAACGGAAACAAAGTGCGACGTCGCTATCATTGCAGAGCCATATCGAGTCCCTCTCGATAATGGCGGATAGAGCAGGAATGGCGGCTGTCGAGAGCACAGCGAGCAGCAGCAGAAAATTTGCACCTCCCAGGACGACCGGCAGATCAGCACACAGAATTTCTTCCTTTTCAGGCGTTTTAGTCTAATGTCGGGCACTCCAATTACGCAGGTATTCACACGCGAGTTGCTCGTTATGATTACACTACTTTATTCAAGAAATTTTAGTCTTAAACTACTTTATTCATTTAATATACCACACAAACTAATAATTAATTTATTGCTACGATTCGAATTCACTTTCACTTTCACTTATTTTCTAGTTTGTTTTGACTACACTCCGTCGATGATTGTTGACCGCTGATGATGACGTCCCTTGCAGAAAAAAGTGGATGGCTTCTGTCACACTTCGGCTTTTATAAGGGGCGCTCCGGAAGACGATGCAACGCCATTTTTTTTTTTTTTTTTTTTTCCTTTATTTTTGTGATTTTTAGCCGTAGGCTAGTTCATCACATAATGCAACGCCATGCTACCAATATATATTTCCCATTTGGGCGTTTATCGGTGTCGATGAACAAGGGATGATTCATTGTTGGTGGTGACACCCAGGTGGCGCATCGATGTAATTTCATCACATTCGTGGTAGCGAACAGCGGCCATACAAGTCATGGGCAGGTATTCCATTCAACAAGTGGTGGCGGGCTCATACGAAGGTTTCGTGATCGCCAAAATCAATGGAATCTATGTATGTAGTTGCTACGCACCCCCGAGATGGACAATTGAGTAGTTCCACCAGATGCTAGATGGGTTCACCGGAGAGCTCATTGGACGAAGACCAGTCGTCATCGCAGGAGATTCCAATGCTTGGGCAGTGGATTGGGAGAGCAGATGTACCAACGCAAGAGGGTATAGCCTGCTGGAAGCTCTGGCAAAGTTGAACGTCAGTCTGGCCAACTTAGGAACCATCAGCACCTTCCGCAAAGATGGTAGGGAATCCATTATCGACGTCACTTTCTGCAGTACGTCGCTAATGGCAAATATGAACTGGAGAGTAGGCGAAGAGTTCACCCATAGTGACCATCAGGCGATCCGGTGCAGTATCGGCGAACGCACACCGGTGGAAATGCGGAGGACGAAAGTAAGCGAGTGGAAGTGGGAGGGTAGACAACAGCGTCCCGGATCCACTGGTGGAACAGCGTCCAGCTTACTGGTGGAACGAGCAAATTAGCACCCTCTGTGCTAGTTATCTTCTAGCGAAGACTACATATCAAGAAGACTGGCAACTCTTCCATTTTCTCATATGACCGCTATAAGACCGACACAGTCGCGTCATCTGCCGTGCAAAGGTAAATGCTTCGAACGAATTTGATAGCAAATATTACAACCTCAGAAGAAAGGTTTGTGTATGCGTTACTTCCATCTTCGCTCGAGCGAAGCGCTACTGTATATGTCGCTTGAATTCTGGCACAGTTGCCAGCGCGGCAAGCTACTGCTTGTTTTCATCGAGAAAGGCGTTTAACTAAAGTTTTGCAGAATGTCGTGAAGCCAAGCTTAGAAATAATCTACGGGAAGGATGATTACCTGTTTCATCAGAACGGAGCGGAGCGCCTTCTCTTACAGTGAATTTGGTCCAAACTGATGTCGGGCATATTTGACCGAATTGTTGGCCAAGGTTGAATGGCCTCCCAGTTCACCAGTTCTAAACCCCTTGGATTATTTTGTGTGATCATACATGCTGTCGAAAATAAACGAGCATAAGGTGTCTACTTGGCCCAGTTCAAATCCTTTGAATTTTGGACGAAATGCCGATGGAAGTCGTGTATGCCGCTTGCGATAGGTTTGAAAAACGTTTGAAGCTGGCCAAAAAGGTTAAAGGCGAGCACGGTGTACCTACTTATTTTTTCATTAGCAAAAAGTTTATAAGTAAAAAGATTGAATTTCACAACAATTTTTTTATGTTCACCCGGTTAGAAAAATTCATGTAAACTTAGGTGCTCTGACACTGACATAAACGAAGCACTAATTTTTACATAAATTTGAGTCATAACAGACGTGAAACGGAGCTCAATTAAACGTAACGAGTAACGAATTTTTCAGTCTCCAAGCACTTAAGTTTACCTGACATGCTTGTTTACGTCTAACTATTTTTTTTGTCCTGGATCTCCAACTAATTGGTCGGAATGACCTGTGTAGTTCAGTAAAACGCCCCACTTCCACCTTTTAAAATCCCTGAAGCACTATACTTTGAAATCAATCCACTTAATTTAATGATTGCAATGCATTATAATGGCCACAAAAGCTCTCCAGAGTTGAAAAGTACTGTTCATCCGCTGGAAGTCTATTAATCCCTCGCCCAAAACTGTTCTCAAAGTGCAATGTACTCACTCCAGATATCTTCAGAAGTTAAGCAAACCAAATAGAAGAATACTTTACCCGAACTTTAGTCTTCAGACTCGTTCCCAAAATCCTTCAGGTGTGCATGGATTATTTTAGAAACACTACAGTATGTATTTGATAGCATAATAGGTCTAAAGTTTACTCTAAGTTCTCTGTAGTTAACACCCATGAAGCCTTTGATCTTGTGCCAGTGATCACGTAAAGTGGAGGGATTCCGTGAACCTTGTCCTTAAACCATGATCTCTAGATTTGTCCCATGAAGCCATTAGGTACTTTAATTTATAGACAACCTTTCATCCATGTTATAGGAACCTTTGCAGAAAAAAAGAAAACTACATAGACGCTATAGACGCCCACATCCATCAGGATACATCATAGACGCATCAACCTTGATAGTACATTATTGAAAATCCATTCCTATTGAGTCGATTTTGAATGTTTACCTTTACAAATGGTTTAACGATGTTTGCACAAATTTCTTCAGAAGCTCGCCGTTAATTGTTTGTGATTCGATGGGTGTATGATATTTTTGTCTCAAGTGTATATGCTAATGAGTACTATTCAAACATAATCCTAAAGCGATGCTTAAAATCTGTCGAGAAAATTTACTACCTAATAGCTGAGGTCACAACATACGAGAGTATGTTTTGCATCATGGATAACCAATAATCAATTAAACTAAACAGCCGTATCGCCGTCTACTTATCTATTCAAGGCTATTTCTCTTCCGGAAGGTCAATATGCAATTATTCCAAATTGGACTTATCAACCCCACATATTAGCTAGACCATCACAGATGCGAACGTTGCCATTAGTCTACCTCAACACCCGGAGCCTTAACAGGCAGCAAGGGAAAGCTTTTACGCTCGCGTGTGAAGCTCCCATCATGATGATGACTAACACTCTACTGTCCAACGGGAATCGCCTTAAGGTAGATAATCACTGTGTGTTCATCACATCAAACAAATCCCGTATGTGTGCACGGCCGATGAGATCAACCCTAAATTGTGTTGATTTTTACTCAAAATTGGTCACTCATAATCTGAGTAACATTTTCCTCAAAAATCTGCTCGAATATGAGAAAAATCGACGAAAATGTTACTCAGTCTAGGCTGTGTAAAACCTCTCTCGATTTTCTCATATTCTAAAAGTAACTTTTTGCGAATTTAAAAGAATAAAACTCAAATTTAAGTTGGTTTAATTGGCCGTGCGAGCAGGCGAGCTTTTACACTGCAAACCGTCACGTTACGAAGCTAATGTAGTTTAGCCTAACTATATTATGAGTGAGCAAATCAAGCGCCACCGGCCGCCGAAGTAATCAGTCGCGACAACTTTGTTTGAATAAATAGCCACTAAAACGATATCAGCGGTAGAATTAGCATTAATGCAGCGTTCCAACTGGCTGAATATTTGATGAGACTCTTTGACGGATTGTACGAGTTATTGGATTAAGTGATTTCCAGAAACGCACATCACATACGACATCGCGTGGCAGCACGTGTTTACATTGAATAATGAAGGCATATCATTGATTTGGTTCTGCTGATAACCTTGCATCGGCGTGGAATAATTTGAAACAAAAACGTAGTGATGAATATATTATGCAGGATTGATATCAAATACGGATCGTATCAGATGTGAAGCGTCTGCTCCAATTTTTTTCAACCCCGTGTCGTAAGGACATTCACCTACCCGCCCGCTTTCGGGAAGCAGTTTATGAATACGCAAACGAATGAGAGAAAATATTGTCAACTAGCACGCAAGCAATCCGGTCCTATAGAGGGCAAGGTTGGACGAACGAGCGCGGAAAAGCCTTCGGTGAAAGTGGAAGCATGGGGGTGTTTATGTTGGTCAAGGATTCTGTTTGCTGTTTAACTGCTTGCCGCAATATTTACGACCATTATTTCTCTTTTCCCTTTTTATTGCAGAACACAGAACTTCGGCAAGAAACGCCACAGTTCAAGCGATGGGAGGCCATACCACAACCGCTTGATTTTAAAGTATACATCTTCAATGTCACTAACCCCTACGAAGTGCAAATGGGTCGACGACCTCGGGTCGTCGAGGTCGGACCTTTCGTCTATTTGTAAGTATGAGCATGTTTTCTAATGTTTGAGTTGGACTCACTCACTTTTGCAAATCTTCAGCCAATATCGTAACAAGGATAACGTTCGATTTAGTAGGGATCGATCCAAGGTTCACTTCTCCCAACAGCAGATATATGTTTTTGATGCCGAGTCATCGTATCCCCTGACTGAAAACGATCAACTCACGGTGCTGAATATGCACATGAATGTAAGTCACATTTTGCTTCTTACTTCTAGCCAGCCATCATTCCCCCAGGAAGCCCCTTGTAAATTCATCCTTACTCATCAACCTCGAAGCTTTCTCTCTCTCTTTGTGCCAAGAAAAAGAGTATTCCCTCAAGCAGGTCGCGTCATTCATCAGTTTTTGTTCCTGAAAATATAGTACTTTCTCTACTATTACTTACTTACTACCCACTACTCCTTCATTCGTTCCCGACGTCTGTTGTTTATATAAATATTCTCTTTTTCTCTCTTTCTTTCATGTGTATATCGTCATTTCAGAGCATATTGCAAATAATCGATACCCAAGCAAAGGAAACGATCACAAACTTTCGGTCTGATGTTAACAATACTCTCGAAAAAATCCCCGTAGTTAGAGTCATTAAACGAATAATAGAGAAAACGACGCCGATCCAAGTAACGTTTGCGTTTTCTGTTTACGATTTTTTATTCTCTTCTGGTTTTGTTTGAGCTTAACCAAAGCATGCTAGATGTTTAGAAAAGCGGCGTTTGGTTTCACTCTACCTTATACCTATTTGTGTTTTACATTCTATTACCTCGCCATCCGGGTAGGCGGTTTGGTTGAGGAGCTATTTAGCTTTCACTTTCTTTTCCTCTTTTGATTTTCTCCCCTTAAGAAGCCTCTCTCCTGATTTAAGTTTATGTCCTTCGTTCTGTGTCTGTTTGTATGTTTCTGCTACTCCTCTATTTTTGTATTAATTCGTTGTGTTGTGTATAATCATTCTGTTCGGGTGGCGGACTAATTGCTAGTAAATAGTGAAGTTATTAGAAGTGGGGGGCCTTCGCTTCGCTCTGTATCTGTAGTAGAGAATCATACGACCATTTGTAGTAATCCATTATGCACTCATCCATCAATTTACAGTATAAATTTGTGCGGCAGTCATGAGCAGTGTCATACAAATAGCCGACTGCAAAGTTTGAACTTTGTGTGATGAAGCGTCACCATCCGAACTGGTGCTAGTACACGCCCATCGAAGCCAAACTGATTGGAATGAGATTTGCATGCTTTTTAGTTTTGTTTTTAATGATTTATAAGCGGTTCAGATTGTATACCATAAACCGCTGCTTGCAGACATTCCATTTGAACTGATAAATTTGAGAACCTGTTATACAAATAAGAATTAAGATAGTCTAATCATTCAATCATCGTTGCCTATTATCTTGAACAATGGTCAGGAAGTAGCCAGGTTACTAAATAGAGAAGAGAAAAAAGTGACTGAATGACACCACGCCAAACGCAAATAGGCCGAATACGATTCAGCCGATGGGATTAGCAGTGCCCAATGATCCCAAAGCTGTATTTTGGACGAAACAAAAGTTTGCGCCTAAGCCATTAGTTTTAGGTAAATAGTCAAGGGGTAATCAACTATGCACATTGTGTCAAAACACACCGTGGCACACTGATCGGCACTTCATGGCACATGATGAAATATAATATAAAATGGCATTACTGTTTTGTGTTGACATTTTGCCAATCTTTGCTAAAGTTTACTTCATAGGGAGGGAGACAGGATTTTTTTGTCAGCGCCATTTTCCAGCGAAATTGTCCCCAATCATAATAAGAAATTGTAAAATTGACGAGACTCTTTTTGTCCTTATGCCTTCTGGGGGATGAACCTCTAAAGAAAGTCCACACGGCTTTGAGAGATGTCCATAGTTTCAGGGAAGTCCAAACGAACTAGTCAAACTCAGCACGCCCCGCAAAATAGCCATTCTTCAGATGTATCTACAATCGCAGAAGTTTCTTTCGCACCCGGTTCGATTGATGGTTCACCAATCAGTCAGCCGTACAGCTCATTGGAGGTCTCTTTCGCAACTGTTCGTATCACCGACGGCAACAGCAACATTAAGAAAGATGCTGCTAACCTAATTGTGAAGGTAACCACGCGATCTTAAGGAACGCAATCGGAACCGGCAGCAGTTTCAGGGAGATAAATCTGCGATTCCGGCATGAAGAAAAACAAGCAGATACAAGGAGGAGGTAGTCATCAAACGACTGCACTGTACTGCAGGTCTATTGCTGCTACAACTACCGCCGGTCTGCATTTTAGGTCGAGTCCTTCCTATTTTTCAGGTTGTAGCATTGCCCGAGTAGCATGGTGATATTGCAGACAAGATTCATCTTGCACTTTCCGGTTGGGTACTTGGTTTCGGCAAACGTCTGCCAGAATGACGCACGGTAGAGAACTGTCTTCTCCTGCTGCTGCCATCAGTCACTTCGAGTGCCACTTCCTTGAAGCGGATAACCGGCAACCAGCTCGTTGAATATTATCTTGGAATTAAGTTGCATAACTTTTTTCCGTCCTTGACTTAAAAATGTAAACACACAATCTCAAAAGTCCGGCGAACTTTGAGATTTGGGCGTAATTGCTTTTGTAAACAAACACGTTATTCAACGATTTCTCACGAATCAAATCACAATCTTACAAAACCATACCAAATGATAGAGGAATCATTCCTCTACCTGTTTGTGTTGTTAGTTTTTTAGATTGAACTTTAATTCACAAGAAATCGACGAATGAAGTGTTTGTTTACAAAAGCAATAACGCCCTAATCTTCGAACCCCATTTGTATCAGCGTTTTTTTCCAATTTGTGGTTCCAAATACGGGCGGCTTGCTTCAACCCGTACAATCCTTTGCGAAGACAACAAACCACGTTTTCTGCATCCGTTTTGCATCCAGGAGGCAACCGCATGTAGACGGGTTATTGTAGCTCACCATTCAAGTACGCTGTCTTGACATCTGCATGTTTGATGAGAAGTTTCTTCTGGCAGGCGACAGAGAATAGTGTCCGGTACGTTGTTTGCTTCACCACGGGAGCAAAAACTTCGCCGTAGTCGACTCCACATTTCTGCGTAAACCCTTGAGCGACAAGCCGCGCCTTGCACCGAATGACCCTTCCATTCTCGTCCGTTTTCTTTTTGAAGATCCAGCGACATCCAATGGTTTTCTTACCAGCCGGCAGCATGGTCAACTCCCACACGTTGTTCTCGTACATCGATTGCAATTCATCCTGTATGGCTTGCTTCCACATGTCTTTCTCCAGACCAGTCACAGCTTCTTGATAGGTGCGCGGCTCGTCATTGTCGTGATGTGCAACCCGACTGTCGGCATAGTAGCGATGAGGTGGAATACCCTTCGTCACCCTGGTTGATAGTCGCTGTGTACCTACATCTTGCTCTACGTTGATTGGTACCGGCTCCTCCTGTGACTCACCTCCATCGAGTGCTTCTGCTTCATCAGCATCTTCGTACAGGCTTTCATCCGAATGTTCTTCAACACCGTGAAGATCTTCCTCTTCCATGATTTCACGATCGATTGCTGGTTCAGGTTGTCTCAGCTTTCGGCTTTGGATTCGAGTTTCGATCGTTTGACTTCAGGAATAAATACGTATGGTGATGTTCCGAACACTTGCAGGTTCGAAACGTCCGGCTTGACTCCATGCCAACATGTTTTGCAGATGACTTGCTGTGTTGATTGCTTCTCCCCAGTAGCGATTATGTATACCTGCGTCCAAAAGCATACACCCGGCCATCTCCACCAAGGAACGGTTCTTTCTTTCTGTGACTCCGTTCTGCTGCGGTGAATATGCTGCCGTAAATTGTTGCTGGATACCTTCACGCTTGAGGAGCGTCATGATCTTCGAGCCACGATATTCGCCTCCCTGGTCGGATCTCAGCACTTTCGGTGGTCTGCCAAACTTCGTCTTTATTTTCTGCACATAGTCCTGCATAGCGTCAAATGTTTCTGATTTTTCTCGCATCAGATACAGCGTTGTGTACCGGCTGTGGTCGTCAATAAGCGTCAGGAAATAACGACGACCACCCGGGGTCACCGTCCTCATTGGTCCACACAGGTCACTGTGTACCAGGTCCATCACAGACGTCGTTTTCTTCGTTTTTTCCTTTGGAAATGGCAGTCGTGCCATCTTTCCCTGCAGACAGGTCTCACAAGGCAAAACCAAACCGTACTGCTTAATATTGATGCCCGTCGACAATTGTCGTTGCTCCAGTTCTTGGACTGCCTTGACATCACGGTGACCGAGCTTACGGTGCCAGTCATGCAAACAGTTCTTCTTATTGCAATGCTCAATTACCGCACCCACGCGTTCCTCCATCTGCAAGGTAGAGACCGTTGCTACGCCTTGCTACAGTCGCAATCCGTGTACCTTTGACAATCGTACAGCCATTGTCGTTGAACTCTACCGCTGCGCCTTTCTGGACGAGTTTCCCGAGGGAAACGAGGTTCATATCCAGATCTGGGACGTACAGGACACCGGTGAGCACGATTTGCTTCGCTTCGCTGTCTTTCCCGTAGCAATGGATCTGGCAGTTCCCCACACCTTTCACGAATGCTTTCTTCCCATTAGCGACAGTAACGAAACTTGGGATATCATCTCGTGGTTTCTCAACGGATACGAAAAACTTTCGATTGGCGCACATGTGGGAGCTGGCTCCAGAATCCACGATCCATTTCGTCACTGGTCCTCGAGCGCTGAAAACGAAATCCTCTTCAGTGGACTCCGTTTTTCTTGCATTTGCCTGTTGCTTGGCAAACTTCTTGGTTTCCTTGGCAACCGATTTTTCACTTCGAGAAACTTCATCCTGGCTCTACTTCTGCCAAATTCTGCAGTCTCGCTTCTTGTGGCCGACCTTCTGGCAGTGGTGGCACACAATGGATTTCGATTTCCCGGCCACCTTCAATACCGCTGAATCCGCCGGAACAGTCCCTTTTCGCTTCTGCACCTCATTGATAATTTTATCCTTTACAAGGGCCAGCGTCAGCTCGTCCTCCGACCGATTTTCGAGGGTAGTCGTCAGCGCGTCGAAAGAGCTTGGTAGACTGCGGAACACCAGGATTACCTGCAAATCGTCGTCGAGCTTCGTACCAGCATTGGCCAGTTTTTCAAACAAACTCTCGAATTCTACCAGATGGTCCTCGATGTCGTCTCCTTCCTGGAACTTGAGATCGCAAATCCGCTTCAGCAGGTGAACCTTCGACGTTAGTGACTTCTTTTCATGTTGCTTCTCCAGATTCTTCCATACTTCCTTTGCAGTTTTCGTAGCCCGGATATGGCCGTGTTGACTCCTGCTCAGCAGCAGCCCAATGGTCGCACGCGCTTTCTGATCCCCTTCGTCCCAGGCAATCAGATCGGTTCGCTCGGTTTGCAGCCTCTTCCGGCTTGACTCCGGGCACGATTTACTTCCATAGTCCTTCGCGAACCAGCAGGAATTCCACCTCCAGCTTCCAGGTTTCGTAGTTTTCGTTCGTCAGCTTCGTTATTCCGGATCTTTCCATCTTGAACTTCTTCGGGCCCAAAACCTCTTGAATGTGATATTGCCGTAGATCGGATTTACTACAACTTGAAAATACGTCTTAGCTTGATGAGAGACAAA